CCCCCCGGCCTCGCAGGACATGTTCCACAACGGCAGCTTCCTCCGGCGCAGGAAGCGCTTCAAGCGGCCCGCGCCGCCCGCGCCCTCGGCCGCCGGGATCCTGCTCTTCCCGCCTCCACCCTGTCCCCTGCTTCCTCCGGCGGTCGGGTCCCTGCCCGCCTGCGCCTCGCCGCTGCCGGAAAGAAAACAGGGGGCGGCACGGTGGTCTTTGCAAGCGGGGAAGGGGGACCAGCGTCCCGGGAAGGAAGAAATGCGGCCTCGGGCAGAGATCGGCCTGCAGGGCGGCGGCAGTCGCAGGTGCTCCTTCAGCATCGAGAGCATCATGACGGGCCCGAGGACGGCGCCTGCAGTCGTGCAGTTGAGCGCTTGGATCCCGCCTTCGCCCGCGGCCACGTGTAGTCGCAGCCCGGCTCTGCTGTCCCACCCTGAGCGCCTCGTCACCTCGTGGAGGACCTTGCTGGGCTCCGGCACCGGTCAGAGTCCCGCAGCATTGCTCGCGGGTCACCCAGACTTGATCCTCGGCGTAGAAAGCCTGTCTCCTGCCTTCTAGATCCCTGCGCCCGTTCTCTCCCTGGACTTTGCAAATTGCTTCTGGTCGGCGGTTTCAGGAACGCGTCGGATCTTTAATTTGACCTTCTGATTGCTCTGCTTTAGCACGCCCTGCCGCGAAAACTGGAGACGCTTCTTCCTAAATTGTGAATATCACCCTCCCCGTCTCCCTCTTTCGCACCCACGCTGATGAGGGTGTCTTAGTCCCCTCCTGAAGTGGTGTGGTAAAGCACAACACACTATATAAAGGGAATTTCATGCTTCTTGACGTTTGCAGGCAGCAACCGAGCAAAGTCTACCTAAGTACCTGTGCCCTATGACCTAAGGATTCACAGTAATGCAGCATTGAAGTGAAATGTGACTGAACCTCAAAAAAAAAAAAAAAAAATTGACAGCCTATCCCTCTGATTTCTACTCAGAATTGGATTGGAGCTGAATTCATGCCAATGGATTGCTTAATTGGTTATCAACATTTTATATAAATGAAAACAGGAATAGATGACTCAGATGAAGCTGTGGAATGGATAAAGAAATCCCATTTTAAGAGCAGCATGAGGGCGCTTTGGTTCCCAGGTTGTGCATTTAGCTCCGTATAGCTCCTTGTGTGCATTTGTGTTTCCTTCCAGCTCAGCTGAACACTCTAAGCTCCAAGCCCTTCCCCTTTTGTTCTGCCCCAAATATTGTGGGTTATACTGGATACAGTATTACTCTGGCCCTTTTCATCTGTCCTCCCATGCCTACCATATATTGCTGTATTCTTAAGGATTGTAATCACTCATATTACACCTATAAAAATCCTAAAATCCCCTGGATTGATCCAAAGAGTTCCAGAGCTCCATGAAGAGACTAGATGTCCAGAGAATCTTCCATTAGATGTGATTGTCAAACATCAACAGATTGTTTAGAGCAGATAAAAATCATAACTTTTTACTATTCTTTACATTCTACTTTCAACTACTTTTTCAACATTCCTCATACTTCTCAGCAACTATCATCAGTTTTGAACTGAAAGGATCTCCATTTGCATTTCTACTTTATATACATCTCCCATCCCTTAGTTTATTCTTGCTATAAAGCATCAAAACTTATTTTGGACTAGTAAACAATTAGAGTGGTATGAATTGATTGCCTGTTGCATAGGAGTCAAATATATTTCTCAGGTGAACAGATCACCTTTCTTGGAGGATAGATCAGTATCCATCATGCAATCTGTACTGTGCCTCCAAAATTAGCCTGCTTAAATTAGTACAGTAATATATCCCACTGCAAAATTTCAAGGGTCAGCTATCAATGCAATCAATTTCTATTCCTGGAATGGACCCCATTTTATTATTTGCATCAGACAACATAATACTTTGGGATGAATTTTTCTTCAATAAGGAAAAAAAATCATGGGGAGCAGACTGCAGGGAAGTAAGATGAAGATTGTAGGTAGGTGCCACTAATCCAGCTCATCTCCTGGGGTAGATGGAGAATTTAGCATCCCATGTCATCTGCTTGCTTTTTTAATTAATCTATCTCCATCCTGTGTTTTATATATGAACCTGGGAGATCTGGATCTTACCAAAACAATCTGCTATTACCTCCTTGAAACTCATGTAAAGACAAACTACATATTATACAGAATCATACTTAGCCCTTTTTTGTGTGAAATTTAGAAAGTTATATTTTTAATGTTCTGCTCTTACAAAAATTCCCTATTTGTAATAAAGTAGCAGATGAGAGAAGGAGCCATGTTAAATTTTCATGTGTTCTTTGTGGGTCAGTATATATGTAGGATTTTTTTTTCAATGTGGGGAGAATTAAAAAAATAGTTTTTAGTCTCAACTTGCTACACGAATGTGTAAAATTTGCTCTCATTCTCTTCTTGAGTAAACCTAGTGACTACATGGAAAGAATCAAATGGTCTCCCACCACAGTACTAGCCAGACCCAATTCTGCTTAGCTTCTGAGCCCAGACAAGTCCATTCTTGTGCCACTACATCCTGGTAAGGCATTCATCTCTCTCTCTCTCTCTGTTTCCATCTCTGGTATGGTGTAGTGATAAAGGTATCTTTCCTTAGGCATAGAAGCTGGTTAAGTGTGCCTTTGAGCCAATCACTATCTTTCAACTCTTGACTGGGAAATCAGAAAGCTCCTATCTGCTATCCCACACTGGACCAGCAAGGTTTACAGTCCATAACCTTCAATAAAGAGGCCTTCACCCTGCAGTGGAATGATTTCATCTGATCATAGATAGATATAAATAACCTGAGTTTCTTTTCTTGTCAGATTGCATTATGTTAAGCATTTGCAGCTCCATGCTTCTTTCTGTAACTTTCAACTATTGTACTGCTTTTACAGTTAACATCAAGCTTCACAGCCATACATCAACACAGAAGGTAACTCACACAATGTGTTAACTAGAAATGATGAGGCATGTTAAAGCTGTCGTAAATCAGCTGAAGAGGGCTTCATCCTGCAGTGGATTGACTTGGGCTGAAAATGAAATCTGTCTATCTAATTATGTACACACCCACACATATACATGTGACTTACTTCCTATAGATACTACAAGAGTTGTTTGCAACCAATTAAAGGACATATGTTTTATTAACAAGGGAGAAAACTGCTCCTGAATTTATGCTAACAAAAAACTTTTCAAAATTACCACAAGTTATATTCTTATAACTGTACAGTTCCACCATAGTATTCCAGTTAAAGTGCATCTTGAAGGTATGTGGTATAAAATTGAGACTTTTCACTCCAGGTGGCGCTATTCAACCACTTTCTCAAATATATTTTAAAACTTTAAAGTCATCAAGCATCTGTTTTGGATTTCTCTTATCAGAATAAATATTTTTGCTTACTCGTCAAACTTTTAAATAAACCTGATTTTGATTTTTTTTATTACTGTATTTTAGGGCTGGTGGCATTATTGTGGATGGTTTATTTAAGATTTTTAATATATTATTTTCTAAACTATTCTGGGCTTCTTTAAGAGGAAGAACTGAATTATTTTCCAAAAGTGCTGCCCAGGTGCTAGTAGTCAGCATGGTGTTTAAGGGGAGGGAAGGAGAGAAAGAGGGCATGCAATAGTGAGGATAACGTTATGAGTTTTATCTGGAATACTTGCTACAATTTTTGCAGGCTTTGCCCGAAAAGCATCTTATAATTTGTTGCATAATTATTTTTATGGAAAAAAAAGAAGTAAGTCATGATAACTTTAAAAGAAACTATTCAAATTTATTTTAACTAAGGTTAAAGGTATCAAACTATGATCTGTGATCTACTGGTAGTTAATAAGCTTATTTTAGTAGACCTTCACTTGATTTTCCTACTCGCTATAATTAGATAACCTTTACAGAATTCTGTTCACAAAAACATACTTTCGCCCCAGTACAAAGACAATGCTATCATTGTTAAAATATAAGTTACATATATAGTTAGACTGAAAAACAGGCCTTATTGAATGGCATCCATATTTCTACTCTGGCTAGTCTTTAAAAATATTCAGTTGACTGATGAGAGAAAACAACCATTGCTGAAGATGATTTTACTTTATCATTTCTGAAGATCCTCCCATCTCAATTGGGCAGCATATGATCCTTCTAATCTAGGAGTCAGAAGTCTCCACCCCTGAGCAAAATTTGATTTGTCAGGCTACCCGCTCTGCCCTCCCTTCATCAGGCAGCTGGCCCTCCAAAGTGCTAGTAGTGCCTTAAGAGAACAATTTCCCAAGATTAGTCTACCCCAATGCTTGAGAAAGCAAGGGCCAACTGGAGCCAGAGTTGGCACTTAACAGTAAAGTAAATGGGAGACAACTGGAGTTTATACAGAATCAGAAACAACATTTACATTTATAGTATCAAGAGAAGTCATAATACGTTTATTCTGAGTTGGTCACACCACGCCTAGAATATTCTGTCCAGTTCTGGGCACCCAATGTTAATACTGTAAGTATTATGTGTCCAGGAAACAGCCAATGCCTTTTAATTTGCATGTTCCTTCAGACCCACCCTCTAATCCAGTGTTTCTCAATCTTGGGAACTTTAAGATGTGTGGACTTCAACTCCCAGAATTCCCCA